AAGGAATTTTGTGAAGTTTGCAAACACAAAACATGAACAGATGTATAATCATTTCTTTTAAAACCTGTATAATTTCTGTTCACATTACCTTACCAATTCTCTGAATCTCATACATGTTTTATATAAAGCCCTTAAAACCCAAGAGTGGACATCCAAACAACTTTTACTAGGGACCAGTTTTAACTTGTGCATCCTAATGCATTCATTACCTATACCTGATCAAAATCTAGTACCTTCTGAGGTGAGAACATAATCACCCATTCCAGTTATCAATTTGCATATACAAGAACTACTTATTAGAGGGTAATGAGAAAGAATTAATGATATGCTAGATAACAGTTTGGCATATCATTATTGTACTCCAAACCTATAAAGTATATATTACATCTCACAATTGATGTCTGAAGCACCAACTTGTTGCATGACCTCCTTAGGAGTTAAAAAGAAAAAAAAAGGAAAGTGGAAAAAAATATTCCCAATAAACTGATCTTAAAAGGAATTTGGAATTCGGTATACAAAAACCAAATTACACAAGTTTTGATACGACAGATACACTTCTCTAAGGAATTTTTGCTATAAACCTCCTGAATTTGACAGTACTGATGGTAACTCAACATTATGTTTATTGAAAACTTAACACTCACGTAACTGACAAATTATTTTGCTTCCTACAAAAGATATGGATGTAAATCAAAGTACAACAAGTTATTCTTGGCTAGTTAACCCAATATGTTACTTTGAAAATTTAAAGATTACATGACTTTTTTTTCTTTCATTGAAAAAAATTCTCATGTAAATCCATGTGTTCACACCTAAGATACATGATAACAGACTTAGAAAAATAAAATATGTGTCAACAACATATTCATCTTATTTGGATTTTGATGACTCTTTTTAAACTTTAATAAATAAATTATTAAACAAATATACATTATAAAAGACATGTAACATAAGACCTAGTTAACAAAAGCTAGCTCATTAACTGCAGGCACTAATGAAATTTCATCATCAAATGTAAATCTTCTTTTTTTGTGAAATGACAACTGCTGATGAGACCCTTGGCAAATGATAACCATCCTCACATATCAAAAAGAATGTCAAGACAAAATAACAGTTTATGTGATGATACAGCATATGAGACCACATGGATGAAATATGTTAAAAACTGTGCAAACATTTTTTTTTTAGAATAATACAGCACTTGGAGGAATGAGCATTTGACATGAATGTACACTATATCAGTCAGAGAAACACAGTCCATGCACTGCCCAAAAAGTCATTTTTTCATATTCACTTTTGCTATGTGCATCTTCTGTTCATGATCCCTTCCACACTGGACCAGCCTGTGGGTAGACAAAATATTAGTGTTATTTGCAACTTAAATCTAATCAGTCAACAATAGTAACAATAAAGAATTAATATTAATGCAAACTCTTATGCAGAAAAATGTTCCTTATTGTAATTCTGTGACTAGAATGAAGTGTTTTTTTTTGTTTTGTTTTTTGATAAGTATTGTTTAAAATACTATTCAAATACTCTCAAGAAATCGGACCATTCCCAAAGTGCATAATAAGTGGCAAAAAAAGTTCCAAAAGGCAATGTTTGTGTTATATATGAAAAGATACAAAAGAGAGGAACACCAATATATGTCATCAATCACCCAAGACAGCAGAAAATGCTGTTTGCTGTACTACTAGGTTAGCAAAGAGGAGATGAAGGTATCATCATCATCTCTGATTGTGCAACAGACAGGTAGACTGAGAAAAAAATAATGAAAAATATATATAACTATAGCATAAAGGGAAAAAAAAAAGATTTTCAACTACTAGTAGATAAAACTACAATAGGGAGAGTAAGAAAACCTATGGATATGCTGAAGACTTTTTGCTATATTACTACACTGTACTGCAGAAGTAATGCAGTATAGCAAAACAGAGTAAAAAAGCCCTTGGCGTAACTCTATACTTTCTTGCTCTTCCCAACAATTCCTCGCCACGGTAAACTTACCTAATTATCAAAGCCTTCGTTTCTCTCACTAAGTGAGTCCAGAGTGTCTGAGCTTGAGGAATGGGTTAGGTCTGGAGTGAGGTCTGGGGGGGATAGGTCATCTGGATCATCAAAGTGCTTTTGGCGCTTGCGGTCATTCCAGCGAAGACATTCATCTAGAGATGCAAACCAGTCAGCAATCTGGTCCTCTGCACAGATTGAGGGAACAGGATATATGGAGGTGGTGACTCTGAGACTGTGGGGAGAGTGCAGAGGAATAATTTCATTAGTAAAGTACTAATTAGTAAAGGGCTGTCACTAACAATACTGAATCTTCAAAGTGGACTCTTCTAAACAAATTTTCTTTTGATTGCTGTCATTTGACTACATCTATTCTTATCTTACATCACTATTAAATATTCATCATAATGAATCATGACATTCTTTTTTTTTCTCTTAAAATACTATTTATGTAGAATTAATTTACTTTTGAAAGAAAGAAAATTGACTAATAATCTTCACTTGAAAAGCTTAAGTACAACAGTCCAAGAACTATGAATCATGTATGTAATATTCAAGGTACGAAGAAAAAAAAAGTGAGAAAAGAGGGTAGAGAGTAAGATACCATAAAAATGCCAAAGATAGGTCCAGTAACCATCAACAATTCATTTGTCATAGAATGGTAGATGCAGTTGGAATAGAAAATACAGAAGGGGAGGAAAGAAATGTGTGAAAGTTGGGAAGACAGATGGATGAAAAGAGAGAGCATTGATAGAAGAAAAGGTTGGTCATATGCATATTCACCAGATACCTTTTAGCAGTCTGATTCACAATAACATGGATGGCTGACACGGCTAAAGAATCAGTTTGATTAAGCATGTATAACTGTCAGCTTGCTCCAATCATACATGATCAATAATGCAATAAGAAAAAGGCTTTGGGGACACCACCATCAGGTTGCAGGTTTTCAAGGGTGATCAAGTAACTCTTAAAGGCCTTCAACTTATTTGTCATCTACTGTAATGAAGGCATAGTAAGGACAGCCTTTTATAATGTATTTCTTAAGTTAACCTATGATCAACCATAAATGAATCTGACAGTCATAAACAGCCACATCTAATGCAGTATCATTATCATACCAAAGTGAGGAATCATGGGCAGTAGGATGTGCTTTTTGCTGATCTATGAACAATAAAAAATAAATAAATCCAATCAGTGTGGTAAGATAATTGATCTGTTTTCTGTATCTGAAAGCAATCTTTGCTGTAGTCTGTCATAGATGGTAAAAGTCAGTGAGGGTGTAATTACTTGTCCCAGAGCACACCAATCTCCTAGATCTAATATTCGGAACCTCGTATCTACAAAACAGTAAAACCTGTTTGAAGACATTTTTGACTTCTTGGTGATAAATTCAGACACAAGGTTCTTTTCTTTACTACTAATTAAGGCAGTTTGCTAGATGCTTTATAAATCTACAAAAGCCACCATTAATGTATGATTCAAACTAGAGCTATATAACTAAGAAGCACTAAATATGTATGTTAGAATTGAAATTTACATATATACATTTGTCCCATTTACCTTCAGCAGAAAATATAAGAGGCCTTCCAATGAATGAGAAATAACAAGATTTTCATAAGTCCAAGCCAAATACCTGCAGAAGTCCACAGCAGGATATCGCACCAATACCAACAGAAGAGAAGGTCACCTCACCACATAAGTAAAGCATTTTTCTTTTATCTCAATACACATGAAAAACAGGGAAAAATAATCCTCCAAGCCACCTCCTAAGATGATATTCTATACACACCAAGACCAAAAGTAATTAAGAAACAAGAGAACCACCAGCAAGTCAGCTTTTCCTCACCCGAGAGTATACCACAATACATTCAGACAGGAAATGTTCTTAATACTTTAACTATAACAAATCAACCACTATTACAATGTGAATAGGGTCAGATGCAAGGATCATGATTTCTTAATGAATTCATCAAATACTAATCATGGTTATTTATTCCATTCGTACTTTCCTTTATCTTCATCTTTTGTGGTATCAAGCCTAACAACAATCCCAAAGACCTCTGAGAATATCAAAAGCAATATCTGCAGTTGCTGTCACCAGAAATATTAACAGCACGGTGCACGGCCAAAAGTCACAATAACAGACACACCTATCTCCAACCATCAGTTCCTGTTGGTGACGGCCATCAAACGAAGCCCAGCATGTGTTGCGAGCTTCGTAGTTCAACTTGATCTGGAAACACATTCACGTGACAATAGAAAGCAAGACTAGAGGAGGTAACATTACCATCTTCCTAGAGGAGAATTCTTGGTGATTCTTCCTTACCTGCTTTCATCTTCTTCTCATATTCTAATGCTAACGACTTGTTAACACACATACATGTCAGTCAGTTGAGACAGACACTTTAGTAATGGGTGCTCCAAACATTTTATTCCCACGGAAAAAAAAAAGAGAAAACATGTCTACAGCCTTGTTTGAACTGTGAAATCACAGGGTGTTATTTCTGAAGGCTTGTCATTCACTAACCAACTATTAGACTGAGATACAGCCATATCTAACCACAATCTACAGTCACTAACAAGCCTTCAGAAAAGTGTCAGTCCTCATAAGTCATTGTCAAAGTCATCTTCATGAGTGAAGACCATCTGTACAGGGAAATGCAGCACACAGTGCTTGACAGGAAATTTCTGAAGACACACCAGCATTCTCTCACATTACGTGTTTTGCCTTACCTATCCCCGTGTAAAAGCTCTTGTCTTTTTCTTCCATCAAAGGATACCCACGCTGTATTTCTGCTGTCTCTAGATACTGCAATCTAAGTCATAAATGATTGGTTAATATAAACTATCATTTCTATCAAATACATGGGGATCATTTTAGGACATTCACTGTACCTTGGGGAGAGATAGATATATGCCATATGAAGAAATAATGAAATCTATTTTCTAAAAATATGATCTTATAAATATATATATATATATATATATATATA